TGGGGCCTGAACTCTGGGTCTGGGCGCTGTCCCTCAGCTCTTCAGCTCAAGGCTAGCGCTCTACCACTGGAGCCACAGTGCCACTTCCAGCTTTTTCTGTTTATGTGGTGCTGAGGAATCGAATCCAGGGCCTCATGCTTGCAAAGCATGCACTCTACCGCTGAGCTACCTTCCCAGCCCATGAGTACGTTTCTTATCGAGCATTGTAGCCTCCTCCTTTGTTTCCCCTTCCCATCCCTTCTCATCCTCCCCCTGCCTCACCACCCAATCCTCCCCGCTCCCCTCCCCCCCCCACCAAAGTTGTAAAGTTCGTTTTCAACATAATGACTTGTACATCTCATTGTTGCAATGGGTCCACCTGTATCCCTATTTAAAGGATTTTCAGATCCTAATGAATAACTTGAGATTTAAAATTTTTATTAAAAAAATGACAAGCAATGACTTCTTTAATACCAGCACTTGGGAGACTGAGGCAGGAAGATCATGAGTTAGAAGCCAGCTTGGCCTATACAAAGAAAATCTATCTAGAAAGAAAGAAAGAAGGAAGGAAGGAAGGCAGGAAGGAAGAAAGGATCTGGCTGCTATTAACTCATGCCTGTAATCCTAGCTATTCAGGAGGCTGAGATCTGAGGATTGTGGTTTGAAGCCAGCCCAGGCAAGAAAGTCTGTGAGACTTCTTTTTCTCTTTTGGTCGGTTGTAGGGCTTGAACTCAGAGCCTTGATGCTGTCCCTGAGCTTCTCTGCTCAGGCTAATGTTCTACCACTTGAGTCACACTGCTCCTCTGGTTTTTGAGTGGATAATTAGAGATCAGAGGCTCCTGGGGCCTTTCCTGCCCAGGCTGGCTTTGAACCATGATCCTCAGATCTCAGCCTCCTGAATAGATAGGATTGAAAGCATGAGCCATCAGTACTTGTAGAGAGATAGATGGGAGAGAGAGGGAAGGAGATGAGAGAGAGAGAGAGAGGGAGAGGGAGAGAGAGAGAGGGAGAGAGAGGGTGGGAGAGGGAGAGGTATAGAAGTAAATGTAGTGTGTGTGTGTGTGTGTGTGTGTGTGTGTGTGTGTGTGTAGAACACACCTTTAGCTCTATCTAGAATGATCAGACCTTAGTTTCTAAATCAAATTGGCATCTCATTTCATTTTCCAATTTCAGTACATTTCTCCCTCTCTACCTTTTCTCCAGCTTTATAGACTGCTTTCATTTTCCAGCTTTCTCTTACTACCAGACTGAGTTCTCTACCTAGAAATTCCTGTCCTCTTCCTGTTCACCCAAGTCCTGCTCCAGTGCTCAGTGTGATATCACCTCTTTGAGATACTCTTTTTTTTTTTGTCCATTATGGAGCCTGAAATCTGGGCCTGGGCACTGTCCCTCAGCTCTTCAGCTCAAGGTGAGTGCTCTACCACTTGAGCCACAGCGCCACTTCCGGCTTTTTTCTTTTTTGCTTATGTGGTTCTGGGGAATCGAACCCAGGGCCTCATGCATGCAAGGCAAATGCTCTACCACTGAACCACCTTCCCAGCCCATAGAACAAAATATTTAGGGGCCCTAACCTGGGCTTGGAAGATAATAAAGTATATCTCAAGGAAGGAAGGAAAGAAAGAAGGAAGGAAGGAAGAGCAAGCAAGCTGGGCACTGGTGGCTTAGAACTATATATCTAGCTACTCAGGAAATTGAGATCTGAGGAGCACCACAGTTAGAAGGCATCCTGGGCAGACAAATCTGGGAGATTAATCTCCAATTCACCAGCAAGAGGCTGGAAGTAGAGGCATGGCTCATGTTGTAGAGTGCCAGCTGTGAGCAAAAAAGTAGAACAAGAATGAGAGGTCCCGAGTTCAAACTCTATTACTAGTAAGAGAGAGAAAGAACAAAACCAGTCTTAACAGAATTGAAGTAGATAAAGAGAGGAAAGTAAGATGAGTGACTTCTTTCCTTTTTTCTTTTTGTCATTCGTGGGGCCTGAACTCTGGGCCTGGGCAGTGTCCTTCAGCTCTTCAGCTCAAGGCTAGCATTCTACCACTTGAGCCATAGCACCACTTCTGCCTTTTTCTGCTTATGTGGTGCTGAGGAATCAAACTCACACCTCATGCATGCAAGGTAAGCACTCTTCCACTGAGCCACCTTCCCAGCCCAAGATGAGTGACTTCTGATTATATAAGACAGATCCCTGTGGTGCCTTCTCTGGGGGGTGAGAAATCCAAGAATAGAAACATGAGTGCAGATAAAAGGAAGTGAGAAACTTTGAAACTCATTGAATTTGTGTGTCAGTACTAGAGCTTGAACTCAGTCTTTTACTCTGGCACAATTTTTTCACTCTACCAGCTGAGCCACAGCTTCACTATGGCTGTTGGCTAGTTATTTGGAGATAAGAGTCTCACAAAGCTGGGTGCTAGTGGCTCAGGCCTGTAATACTATTTACTCTGGAGGTTGAGATCTGAGGATTGTCGTTTGAAGCTTGGCTGGGCAGAAAAGTCTTGAGATTCTTATCTCCAATTAATCACAGAAAAGCTGGAAGTGGGACTGTAGCTCAAGTGGTAGACTGCTAGCCAACACACCCAACCCAGAGTTCCAGGCCCAGGATCAGCACAAACAAACAGCAACAAAATGTCTCACAGACTTTTCTGGGCTGGCTTTCATTGTAATCATCAGATCTCAGCCTCCTGAGTAGCTATAATTACAGGTGCCAGCCACTAGCACCCAGCACATCTAGACATTTAAGGCTGCAGTGGGTACAGTAGCTGAGAAGAAATAGAAAGGAAAACTCAGCAAGGTACACAGGAATCATAGATGCTGAGACAGAGTGAGTCAGAGAAGAAAGTCAGGGAAGAACTGCTGAGGTTCCTTTCCTCCGTCTTCCCCACCCCTTCCCCTGGACACAGATACACTAGAGAGGATTCTCTTCATAGCAGCTTTATTTGACTCCATAGTGAAACTCAGACCATGGCCCAGCCTGCTGATCATGGGATCCATCTGGAGCACAGTCATCCTGGGGGCTCAGGGGCCTCTTACCAGGACACAGAAAGGAAAGCATACATGTCACACCTATATATCAGGGCAGGGAAAGGCCCAGCTACTGCTGGCCAAATAGGACTTGGCTATAGGCCAGGGGCCAGGGAGGTCTGATACCACCTCATAAACACATGCAGAAGGAAGGGCACTAATTTAGGACTAGTGCTAGGGTTTGGGCTTTAAGTAGGCTTTGGGCAGGGTCAGAGCGCTCTCCACCAACAGGCTCAGTAGCTGTGAGTAGAAGACTTGTCCAGCTCATTATGCTGTTCCTTCTGGGACTCTGTCACCACCTGCTGTGGGTAAACAACAAGTTCAGTACCACCTAGCATCACCAGCTGAGGCTCCAGCAAATGCCCCCAATCAATCTCCTGGCTCTTCCCCCAAATCATGTACCCACACACCCTAAGATCTGCAGCCAGGCTAGGGCTCAGAAACAGCATAAGAAATGGTAGGTAGGGTCCTGGGTCAGAGAACCTAGCTCACCTCTCCATCCCGGGTCTCAATGGTCCTGATCAGAACCATCTTGCGGCTATGGCTGTCCTGGAGAGTCTCCACCTCAGGCACTGGAGAAAGCATGTTGAGGGGTAGAATGGGAAAGGCTTGGGGTTTTTTCTTTCAGATTCTCACTCCCAACCCTAAGGGCTAGGTACCGTCTTGGCCTGAGGAGTAGGAGACAGTCTTGGCCAAGACTCCATTCCTGGGAGAGAGAATCTATCCCTGAGCCCAAACTATCTCATAAAGAGTCCAATCTTTATGGCAAAAGGGAGGGGGGGGGCGCCGGTGGCTCACACCTGTAGTCCTAGCTACTCAGGAGGCTGAGATCTGGGGATCTCGGTTCAAAGCCAGCCTGAGCAAGAAAGTCCATGAGACTGTAATCTCCAGTAAACCACCAGAAAACAGGAAGTGGCGCTGTGGCTCAAGGGGTAGAGCGCTAGCCTTGAGCTGAAGTGCTGAGGGACAGTGCCAGGCCCAGAGTTCAAGTCCCGCGACCAAAAGAAAAAAAGGAGGTACAGGCTGGAAGCCCGACCTGGAACACTCACCAGTAGTCTTTAAACTAAACGAAGCAAAGGAATGGATGGGAACCGAGATCCTGTGGGGCAAAGCGCGTGGTCAGCCCTGTGACAATGTCACTTGGCTGTACCCCCAAGGCGGGATCATTCTCGACTCCACCCAAGCAGCCCCCACTCCCCCCTTACCGGCTCTCTTCACCCTCCAGCAGCTTCCGGTAGGTGGCGATCTCGATGTCCAGGGCCATCTTGACATTCAGGAGCTCCTGATACTCGCGCAGGTGCCGGGCCATCTCCTCCTTCAGCTGCCGCAGCTCCTCCTCCAGGCGTGCGGCTCCCGCCTGGTACCCACCCGCCTCCAGGGCGAACTGCTCCTCCAGCTCCCGCAGCTGTCTGAGCAGCGCCTCGTTCTGGGGGTACGAGGGAGGTTAGAGATAATCAGTTGCGGAACCCATCATCATCATCATCCTTCCCGACCTTCCCCCAGGGCACTTGGCTTAAATGCTCACCGTGCCCCGCAGCCCATCCACCTCGCACGTCAGGCTCTGGATCTGGCGTCGAGATTCATTCATCTCCTGCTTGGCCTGGCGCAGGGCCTCGTGGTTCCTGTTGGCGGCGTCGGATAGGTCCGCGTACTGTATGTAGAGTTGGGGAGCAAAGGGAGGGGCGTGTCACCCAGGCTAGAGAGGGCTGGGACACTCGACACTTCCCAGTGCCTCCTCCTCCTGGGGGAATCTTGGGCTCTCTGGAGCCCTCACAGGCTTGTCACACCTTGGATTTATACCACTCTTCGGCCTCCTGTAAATTCTTCGCCGCTATGCTCTCGTACTGAGCACGAATATCCCGCAGCGCCGCTGTCAGTTCCGGCTTCACCATCGCCTCGACCTCGACCTGCTGCTGCACCTGCTGACTCTCCACGCTCACTTGCAGGTCTCGAAGCTCCTACGGCCAGGATAAGCAGAAGATGAGCACCCAGCTCAGATGATACGCCGGCTGTGCGCAGTTAGCCCAGCGGGCCGGGGTGCGGAGAGGAAGGGAGGGGAAATCAAAAACCAAAACAATCCCCCCACACATTTGCATGGACAGAAGGGGGCGCCAGGGAGCGCGCAGCGTGCGCGGGTCTGCCCGGCTCCGCTGGGCGCTAAGCCAGATGTGAGGTCCGGGATGCAGATCCCCTCGCTAGCCAACAGGTGGCGCAGGGGTGGGAGTCAGTCAAACCACCTGTAAGACCAGATTGGAGTGAAAGCGCCGGATCATCCAATTTCCCGTCTCACTCCCTGCGTGATTCCTCATTTCCACCCACTGGTCATCGCCCCACCCACCCCGATCTGGGTCTCAACCCACCTCCTCGTGCAGCTTTTTGAGGAACTCAATTTCATCCATCAGGGATTCAATCTTGCGCTCCAGTTCCAGGCGAGACAGGGTGGCGTCGTCCACGTCCTTTATGGGATTGGAGTGGGGGGAGTTAGAACACACACACACACACACACACACACACAGAAAAGGAGTCGTTGTTCAGGTCGAGGAATAGTCTGTCCTTCTCTCTTTGCCTCGAGACATCTAGTTGCCGCTTCCTCCCCCATGCAGGCCATGGATGGGGGTAGCTGGTAAAACTCGACGGGTGTGTGTGTGTGGGGGGGGTGCCCAGGCTCACCTTACGGAAGAGCACCAGGTTGTGTTCCGCATCCTCCCGCTTGCGCATTTCGTCCTCCAACCTTTGGGCAGAGTGAGTAGAGACTGAGAGTTGAGGGGTCACAGCCTAGCCCTTGTCCGCAGACCTCGGCCTCGCATCCTTCCCTCCCACTCCCTCCTCTACCTCTGCTGCAGCTGTCTAGGATTCTAAGGGGAGGGGTTCAGGCTGTCTGGTGGAATTAACCTGACTTTCTAACGGGCTGGGAATTGAGATGGAGGGGTCCCCTTAAAATTGGGAGAGCTGTCCCACCTCCCCAGGCACTCAGGAGTGAGGGTGCTGTGGGATCCGGCTCAGGTTGGTCCTGGGGAGGGCCACGCCCTTTGGCTGCTGGGGAGCTGGGAAGGGAGGAGCCGGCCGCCGCCCATCCCCAGGCCTGCCGCCAGCCCCTGACCTCTGCTTGAGCGCCGCCAGGTCCTCCGCCAGCCCATCGCGCTCCACCTGCACCCGATCGCGCTCGCGGCCCAGCAGCTCCAGCTCGCGCCGCAGCTCCCGCAGCTCCTGCTGGCACAGCTGGTCGGCGCGCGCCGGCTCCTGGCCCCGGGCCTGGTTCAGTTCACCCCGCAGGGCCGCGTTCTGCTGCTCCAGGAAGCGCACCTTCTCGATGAAGTTGGCAAAACGATCGTTGAGCTCCTGCAGCTCTTGCTTCTCGTTGCTGCGCGTGGCCAGGAACTCCTGGTTAAGGGCCTCGGCCATGGAAAAGTCGAGGCGCTCCGAGGGCAGTCGCAAAGCACCCGCCCGAGGGGCACGGAAACTGCCCAGGCGCACTGTGGAGCCCGGGGACGCAGAGCCCAGCAGGCGGCTGCTGGAGAAGCGGGAGCTGGAGGAGTAGGAGAAGGCCCCGGGGGACAAGGAGGGCGGTGGCCCAAAGGTGCGGCGGTATGAAGTGGAGGCGATGCTCGCCCGGAGACCCGACGGGTGGTGGTGGCTCATGGCGTCCGAGGATGGCAGCCACCGCTTGCACAGCTAGGCCGCCCGGCCGGGAAGGAGCCGCAGACCGCTGCAAGGCAGCTTTATAGCCCTGCGGTCTCCAGGGGGGGCACGGGCAGCTCCGCCCACTAGCCTGACTAGAGCGGGGGCTGTGTGGGGAGGGGGATGCCGCACCCTGCGGAGCACGGGCGGGCGGTACCCTCCCTTTCCTGGATGCTGGCGCTTGGCCTGGCCTACTTCATTCCTCCTGTTGCTGATGGGGAGAAGGGGGGGGATGTGACTACAGGCAGAGGTGTAGATATGTGTGTGTAGGGGGGTTAGAGGGGGCTGCCAGTAAGTATCTCAAACTGGAGCAGCAGAAGGGCTGGGGTACCTACTTAGAAGAGCTGGCTAGAATTAGAGTAGACTAGGACAGAAGAAAGAAGGCCAGGTAGAGGGAAAACTGACCTGGCCTAGGCCCCAGAGCTAAAGTCAGCAAATGTTCCCTGTTTCCACCCACCCCCTCCTTCAAGCACACCCAGGAGAAATGGGGCCCAGGAGGGCAAAGGCAGAGGGGGTTGGGGAAGGGCTGGTCTCTCCCTATTCCCCAGGGCCCTGTGAAGAGTTGGTGATTAGAGCCAGCTCTGCAGCTAATGGACCGACCAGCTCCCTTCCCCCTCCCCTCTGCCCAGCAAAGGTTGCCTGCTGCTGTTTCTGCCTTAAAGACACAGCCCCCAAACCTGGATTTCCCCCAGGTCTCTGTGAAGGTGGGTGTACCCTCACAAAGGGGAGAGGGGCTGAGGATGGATCCCACACTTAAGGGGCTGTGCTATGGCAGACATTGAGCTGAATGCATCTGTAGTGTGCTGTGGTCTTTACTGGATTCTCTCTCCCCTCCCCATCAACTGCTGCTCAGTCATGGGCTTTCCGGGAACCAGGGCAATTCTTGAGGTAGGAAGGGGAGGGGTCTGAGAGGCAGCAGTTGTTGCTAAAGACTGAGAGATGGACAGACTGGCAGGCACCAGTTTCGAGTACAGAAGAAGTGCAGGTACCCAGGGGATGGTGTGGCTGGAGGGGGAGGAGAGAGCAAAAGGGTAGGTGGCCACCCCCAACCATCCGAAAGAGAGGGCCACTAGCAACCCCACAAACAGATTCATATACCTAGTACCTGCATATTTGCACAGTGCAAACACAGATGCACAATCACACACTTCTGTGCTCCTCCCCCATAGTTAGCAAGAAGCTGATGTCTGGCCTTTGTGTGTCACACAGCTTCCTCTGGAGTGGACAGGGACATCTCCAGTGGGCTTCAGAAACCTGGGTGCTGAGACCATTTACGTTTGCCAGGAGCCATGAGGTTGCTGCTGCTGCAGCTGGAGACTTGGGACTCTTCAGCAAGGCAAGTCCATTTTGGGTTAGTCCTGAGAACAAGAGTTGGGTGTCTCAGAAGTATGTTTAGGGCTCCAGGCCTGATCACTGGATAGGGTAAGGAAGATGGCTCCCTGGTTGGCCAGCTCATCTCTACTGCAGGACAGAGAATTCCCTCCACCCTTCGTGTGTCCTCTGAGATGGGCCAGAGCCAACACCTTCTCACTCACATCACTAAGCTTTCCTTGGCTCTGCAGGCCCCTCCTTTCTTCCGGCTATTAGTCTTTCCCTGCACAGCTGCCAGGTCCTTCTTGTTGGGTCTGGTTTGGTTGCCAGGGGGATGGGAAGGAGGATGGGAGAAAGGAGACAGGATGGATAAACCAGGGCCTGTCACCTCTGCCTCAACTCATGGCTGTGAGGAGAGGTAAGATCCTGGGCTGGGCTGGGGATGGGGGACTTTGAAAGTGTAAAGGGGAGTTGGGGAAGCTTAGGTGCTTTCTACTGCAGCCCTGGGCACTGAGCCCTCAGCTACCATTGGTCTCCAGCGCCATCTCATCCCAGACTCAGCCACACCCTCCAGGAGCAAAGTGGAAGCCAGTTCTGCAGATAGGGAAGGGGAGGGCCGGGAGGGTCAGGCCCTGTCTTTTTTTTTTTTTTTTAACAGGGAGCTGATGGTGGACCTGGGACTTTCTTCTTCTTCTTATAAAGGTGATGTGCAGAGGGCTTACAGTTACATGAGTCAGGTAATGAGTAAATTTCTTCATTTCTTTTTGGACAATGTCATCCCTTCCTTGCTCTCTTCTAGTTTTTCCCTCCCATTTCCACCCCCAAGTTGTAGAGTTCATTTTCAACATAGGATCTAGTGAGTACCACCCATGCATTTGTCTCTCCAAATGCATCTGTGGACCTGGGCCTTTGTGTGTGTGTGTGTATGTGTGTGTGTGTGTCTGTGTCTGTGTGAGTGTGTGTGTGTGAGAGAGAGAGAGAGAGATAGAGAGAGAGAGAAAGAGAGAGAGAGACTGAGAGAGAGAGAGAGAGAATGTATGTGATGTGCCAGGACTAGGTCTTGAACTTGGGTCCTAAGCACTGTCCTTTATTTCTGCTCAAGGCTGGTACTCTACAACTTGAGCTATACCTCCTCTTCTAGCTTTTTGCTAGTTAATTGGAACTAACAGTCCCAAGGATGGACCCTGCCTGATGTGGAGTGAGTCTGGGTGGAGGAACTGCAAGGCAGAGGTGACCCCTCTGCTCACTGGGAAGCAGCCAGGCCCAAGAGGATTTGGGGGTAGCAAGAGTCACAGGTAAGAGTTGATTTAGCTGCTACACTTCCTATCTGATTCCTCCCCCCCATTTTACCTCTATCATACAAATTCAAATTCAATGCTATATTCTTCCATGTCTCTCAGTAAAACAGGGATAACTGTAACTTCTACCTTTTTTTTTCTTTTTAGTTGTGAGACTTGAACTGAAGGCCTGGGTGCTATCCCTGAGCTTTTTTACTCAAGGCTAGTGTTTCACCATTGTGTGTGTGTGTGTGTGTGTGTGTTGCCAGTCCTGGGACTTGAGCTCAGGATCTGGACACTGTCCTTCTGCTTCTTTTGCTCAAGGTTAACACTACCACTTGAGCCACAGTGCCACTTCTGGCCTTTTCAGTTTGTATGGTACTGAGGAATCAAAGCCAGGGCTACATGCATGCTAGGCAAGCACTCTACCACTAAGCTACATTCCCAGCCCACTCTACTACTTGAACCGCAGCTCCACTTCTAGTTTTCTGGTGATTAATTGGAGATAAGAGTCTCACAGACTTGGGCTGGGAAGGTGGCTCAGTGGTAGAGCGCTTGCTTTGCATGCCTGAAGCCCTGGGTTGGATTCCTCAGCACCACATAAGCAAAAAGAAAAAAAGCTGGAAGTAGTGCTGCGGCTCAAGTGGTAGAGCACTAGCCTTGAGCTGAAGAGCTGAGGGGCAGTGCCCAGGCCCAGAGTACAGGCCCACGACCGGACCCCTCCCCACCAAAAAAAAAAAAAAGAGAGTCTCACAGACTTTCCTGCCCCTGCTGGATTTGAATTGTGATCCGCAGATCTCAGCCTGCTGAGTAGCTAGGATTATAGGCATGAGTTACATCACAGGGAATAACTTCTATCTTGTAGTGTTGTTGGGAGAAATAAATGACCAAATACAAGTATACCGAAAAGGCCAAGAAATGCAAGCTAGTTTTGTGCATTATAATTATCTCCTGAGTGACTTCAGTCCCAAGTACAAGGATGATCCCTGCTCCTTTTAGATTGTCCTCATTGGTGGCTGAGAGAAATGCTGGACCCAAGGTGGGAAGAGCCAAGCACTGGCTGGGCAATTGCTGAAGAGGAAGGTGGCCTCATCCTCCCACAGTGTGTTAGAACTCTGCATGACTGCTTAATGTGTTGTGTGCATTCTGTATATTCAGTGTGTGCATCTATTTGTATTATATGTATTTATTATTATTATCTTTGGTGGTATCAGGGTTTCAAGCTTTCTTCTTGCTCTCCTGGAACTTTACCACTTGAACCACACTTCCAGCTTGTGTTTTGCTGGTTGATTAGAGATAGAGTCTCTAGGACTTTTCTGCCTGGGTTGGCTTTGAAACTTGATCCTTCAAGCTCAGCCTTCTGAGTAGCCAGGCATATAGGCATGAGCCACCAGCACCCAGCTCACCCCATATTCTCTATCCATAAATGGATAATATGATAATAATAGTACATTGACAGTATTGACTTACAATATGCAAAGCACTTAGCACTTGGCCCATTGTACATGCTGCATAATGTAAATGAAGTTGAAGTTACTGCGTTGGGTATTAAACAATGGGCCTGGACCCAAAGTTAGACTAGGAGGGGAGCACAGGCAAGAGAGGCCAGGAAGCTGGGTCTACAAGAGGTTGACAGCTAGACTCACTGGAGAGGCTACACAGTCATAGAAAAATAAGGGAACAAAGGGGTCTCTGAGAGGAAAGAGGTTGTTTTCAGACAGCAGAAAGTGTGCATTTGTGCCTTGGGTGCTGCAGTATTTGTGGATAAGGTTTTCAGGGTATTACTGAGGGCAAGAGCAACTGAAGCCAAAATAGACTAAAGGGAAAAATCCTACTAGCCAGGCACTGGTAGCTCACGCCTCTAATCCTAGGTACTCAGAAGGCTGAGACCTGAGGATTGCAGTTCAAAGCCAGCCCAGGAAGGAAAGTCTGGCAGACTCTTATCTCCAATTAGCCACCCAAAAACTGGAAGTGGTACTGTGGCACAAAGTGGTAGAGTGTTAGTCTTGAGCAAAGGTGCTCAGGGACAGTGCCAGGCTGAGTTCAAGCCCCACAACAAGATCAAGCTACTCTTCTGGATATTTATGAGCTATGTGGCCCTGAGTGAGTTGCTTGTCCCCTCTGAGCTTCAACATTCTCATGTATAGAACAGAAATAAATAAGGACATCTTCCTTTGAGGTTCATAGTAGGTACTCAATAACTTTGATTGCTTCCCCGCCATCCTGTAGCAGAGAGGGAACAGAGACAGAAGCAATGATATTCCCATTTGTTTATAACTACATGTCAGCTGAGGACCTTCCTCTCAAAGCCAGTGTTCTCTCCAAGATTCCTTTTCTGGTCAGGCTATATAACAACTGCCTGAAGTTCCAGCTACTTAGGAGGCTGAGGTTGTAATTTTATTTTTTTTTGTCAG